GGATGTTGAAGTGTAGTGACGTCATTTTGTAGAATAAAGCATGATGGGATTTTACAGTTTAGTGACGTCGTTTTACGCAACCAAGCATGATGGGATGTTGAAGTGTAGTGACGTCATTTTGTAGAATAAAGCATGATGGGATTTTACAGTTTAGTGACGTCGTTTTACGCAACAAAGCATGATGGGATGTTGCATTGAAGTGACGTCATTTTGTAGAACAAAGCATGAAGTCCTCGCATCTTTTATGCCCACAAAACTAATCAAAAGAACCGTTGGAGTGTTTATCTSACAGAATCGTCAAACCACACGCTTTTATAAGAAACACTGAATTTCAGAATTCCTTTCAGCATGCTTTGCACTACCGATGCACCTTCCTTATTCAACTAAAAGTTCGTCTAAATTTTAGCTAGAAATGAATTACCTTTGATTTTGAATACACTTAACAACAGGACGTATCTTGGCAATCACAGGTCCAAGCTCTTCAAAACGCCTCAACTTAAAAGCGTTGTCTATGCTAGACGCAATGGTTTCAATCTGTYGAGGACTGATTCGATCCACTCCAACAGCAATCACTTTCATATTCGTTTTGGATTTTAATGTATTAGCAGCTTTTTGTAACTCTTCAAATGAGCCTTCTTCGTAACCGTCGGTGAAAAATATGAAGACTTTCTGGACGTCGTCACCGCGAGCACCATGTCCAGCGGACTCGTCGAATAGCTCTATAGCCTTTTTAATTCCATCTGTTATTCTTGTTACTGTTGAACCTTGTTGTTTGAGTTGATTGACAGCAGTGATTAAGCGTCCTCGATCGAAGAATTCGTCAAAATTGATCTTAATTGTTGCGTTTGAACCGTATTCTAAGATCCCAACACGAGATTCCTCCTCAGAGATGGGGAAAACCTTAAATCAATGAATCAATCAATGAATCAATCAATGAATCAATCAATGAATCAATCAATGAATCAATCAATGAATCAATCAATGAATCAATCAATTAGTCAGTCAATCAAAGAATCAATCAGCCAATAAATCACTAAATCTATCAGTCAATGAATCAATCAGTCAATCAATGAATAAATCAATCAATCAGTCAATTCATTAATCAATAAATCAATCGATTGATCATTCAAGTCATTTTTTCATCAATCAACAACTTCCATCAGAATCAATAACTGAATCGATCGAATGAAAAAAATATATAAATAAATGATTGAATAAAGTGACGATGATGTAGATGAAATTTGAAATAATCAAACCTTGATAAGATCGATGACAAAATCAAGGACACTACGATATTCCTTCTTATCAACGCTATTGGAGCCATCGATAGCTATACCAACATCCACTTTGATCTTGCCACAAGCTAGAATAATGAACATCATAAAAGCGTTCTTAAATAACGTCTATTACCGAAGGAGAAAGTTGAGCGAAAGTGAAAACAAGACAAATGCATTCAACTTTGAGCACCGTTAAAGATAATTTCAAATTAAAATCCAAAGAATTTCCAAACGCAACTATCTTTACAGAAGACACTGGATTTTCATGTAGCTCCAGTAGCACAGGGAGCACATGATGAATAAATTACCTTCCACTTCACATCGAGGACCCGTGTAACCAACTTTACAGTCGCACCGGAAGTCGGTTGATCTTTCGACACATTGACCCCCAAAGAGRCAAGCCTGGTCCCTGCAGCCACATTTCTTGGTACCTATTGCCTGCACAAAACGGTTAGTGCTCGAGAGGTCGATAGCACGAGATCGTAAACTTGGATCCTCAACTGTGAAATCTTGGATGCATCCTTTGAAGCTTACAGTCAGGCCTGTGTCGTTCTGACTAAAAAAAGGAAGAAAAATAATAATGTTCAATACATGTCTAAAGATACTGGCATACCACTGGAAAACAACGCGAACTTTAAAAGTTGTAAATTTGATGTAAATTCTAGGAACCGTGTCCAAAATGATGTAAATTTGATGTAAATTCGATGTAAATCATTAACATCAAATTTACATCATCAAATTTACAACCTTTTAAAGTGCGCGATTTTTTCGAGTGTACACAGGATAGAGAGTAAAAATCCACCCGACCCACCCTCTCCCATACACCTGTTGCTCCACTTACGCTTTCAATAACAACTTTGCGGATCCATAAACGCCTTCTGTGGCCAATCCCAATGTTGAGATACTATTCAAATCAAGAGTAAACCAGCCTTTGAATGTTTTAGTATACCGAACCCCATTAACAATCATGGTCAAAGTGCCTCTGTTTCTTATCAATTGAACTCTGGCAGGTTGGTTAAGACGAAGCGGGGTACCACTTGTAAGTATCTGAACACCTTTACCGCCRCTAAACCTGAARCAGATTGACGTTAAAAGATGAAATAAATGAAAAGAAATCACAACATGAGACTCAAAAAGAGAAACAGAAAAAGTAATGTCAAGTAGTGAAACAATATGAAACACAAAAATCCAAACAAAACACTAAACGAAACTGCAAAACGAAACGAAATGAGATGACACAAAAAAGAAACAAAATAGAAAAAAACGGAAACAACTGAGCAAAATACAGCAAAAACAACGATAAAAAACAAACCTTACTTACACAAAGTAAGAAAACCAAAARATATCCAGCAAAAACGCGGAAGTAGARCAAAAAAGAAACAAAAGAACASGACAAAAATATTCATCTCTCACCGGTACTCAAGCTTTCCGTTTCTCATTGCCAGWGACATGAAGTCAGCCTTCCCGTCGCTCGCCCCAGTGTAGAATATGACACCGTTATCTGCTTCGGGTTTAATCTTAAACGACAAACCCTCTACTTTGGACTTCTGGGATTTTGAAACCGGATTTCGTAGTTTAATAAAAGACTGAAGAGCGATAAAGGCTTTTGATGACAGATAGGGCACTTCAGCTAAAGAAACAAACGAAAATGATGAGAACACAACCAACGTGCCTCCCACTCCCATTCCTCCTTATTCCCATTTTTTAATATTTTCATCATCATTCATTTATCCTTCTATTCACTATCCCATTCATCTACATTATCGATCGATACATCCATTATTTTAAACAATCATTCAAGACTGGTTAACACGAGCACCGCAAAAAGCAAAAGAATGAAACTTTCTTCCTTTTTTGAACTATTTTGAACGCGAGAAGAGATGCATTTGCGTTGCTAGTATTTTACCAATCTCGTACCCAGAGCCCGCACTTTTGCCATCTAGCGGAAGTCAATGCGTGCATACCGCTGACATTAGTCGTGAAGACTCTGGGCTCGAGATTGGTATTTAACTTGAGCCCGCGTACTTCTCTTTTCACACCGCTGTCCTATAAAACCATAGGGACACCGACAAAAGGCGGCTCCACTGAGCTCTGCACACGATGCCCCATTCAAGCAACCCATCATCATGCATTTATGGTAAACACAGCCATCGACTTGAGATCGAGCCTCAATGGGACCAAATGGTTGTGCGGGGACCAGCCTCTTGAGTCCCATTACTGCTTTATTGATACGTAGTTCCCGGATGCAGCCCATGAAGCCAGCGGTTGTCTGCATAAGCTTTGATAACCTGCGAAATGAAAAGCGTTTTTTTACACGTAACATAGTACATAACAAGGAACGAAAATAACTTTACAAAAACTGCTCCTTATCACATTCCTTCAATTATATTCATAAGAAAATAAGATAAATAAACTTAAAACATACTTGGCTGGGATTTTGATTGGAATACCGCCAAGATACAAGCCTTGATCGACGTTAAGACCCGTGAGTCCCTTTCGAGCACTTCCACTGACTGACACACCGTTCAGATTGATGGTACCCGCTTCACCATTTCGCGTTATTATCAAACGGTTCCAGTTGTTTAAATTAACTTTCGTCGTGGTTTGAATTTGAACGGAGCCTTTACCGAGATCATAGCTGTTGAGAAACAAAATCATTTACTCATTCATTGGGAGCTGCACTTTTTATGGAATCAATTCAACATCCCAATTCCTAAATATTGCAGGTTACATACCTTAACACCACAAATCCTCTTCTAAGAAGAATAACAATGTAATCAAATTTCTTCAGGGACCCAGTCCCTTGCATCGAGAATAGTAGCACGCCGCTCTGACTAGTTGGCCGGAATACCATGCTGATTGACGTTTGGCTGTTTTTACCAGGAAGACTGGCGTATTTGAGATAACCATTTCCATTCAAAAATCCAACCGAATCTCCTGTTCAAGCACAACAATAAATACTTGTTTCTACTATGTTGCATGTAATTGTTTAATAAGCTTTACTTGTCTATAATTAAGAAGGGAGACTGTAATATATCTCACAAACCTTGATTAAATGGAGAAAACAACGGACTACACTAAAATCTTATGATTTGCAGGATTGTTTGACCACAGARCTAGGAACCGTTTGGGTTCAAAAGGCGAAACAGATACATCAACATATACAAACTTACACGCATAGCACGTCTTTGATACTAAGCCATACTTTTAAGAAGGAATACATGCTTAAACAGAACTTACCATTCATTGCCGAGCTACTTAAGAGATCAGTATAAGAGGAAACAGATGAGAGAAGAGCGGGTAAGAAGGAAAGACGAAGTGAACGACGTTGGCGCCGAATATCATCTACACAGAAAGCTTATTGGTAAGATGGAACTGACAAAGAACAAAAGTAAAAGGAAGGAAGGAAGGAAGGAAGGAAGGAAGGAAGGAAGGAAGGAAGGAAGGAAGGAAGGAAGGATGAGAATAACATGTAAAAGAGGCGCTTAGATCTTACCACACTCGCCCTTCTGGACAACAGTGATACGAGACTTTAGCTGACATGATTCGGCCTTGAGTGTGCATTCGTTGGGGTATGTCAAGCCATTACTACCGCATACTGGGCTGAAGGATAGTGAGCACTGTGTTGGACATAGCTGACATGATTCGGCCTTGAGTGTGCATTCGTTGGGGTATGTCAAGCCATTACTACCGCATACTGGGCTGAAGGATAGTGAGCACTGTGTTGGACATACACATTCTAAGCTGCCGTCGAGTTTAGCTTTGCATGTTGAATAGAAGTCACACTTGAGGAGAGCACAAGGCGCTGAGCATAACAAAGAGAAGTTGTTGTGTCATGGGCAATGAAATAAGTTTGGAAATCTCTGCAATGACTCAGTATCAGTAATATGACGCTGTTAGAGGTTTCTGTATTGTATAGAAGTGTCTGTAAAGGAGATGAGTTGATCAACTTACTGCAAGCGCCTTTTTGAAGGATCACGATGTTACGCCGYTGATTGCAAGCATCAGACTTCATTAAACATTCATTTATATACGTGCGACCATTACTGCCACAGACAGGATCAAACGAGAAAGAGCACTTTTGTTCACAGACACAAACTGCTTTTCCATTGTCTTTCTCGATGCACTTTGAGTAGAAACCACATTTAGTGGAAGCACAGCCAAGAACTTGAATACAAGAAGACAAGATACAKAAAGTGTTAATGTTAATCCTTAAAGGTTTTGAAATGGCAGCTTCAACAAGCAAGCAAGAACCTTGACATCACTTGAAGATGTGATGAATGAAGCAAATTAAATTCTCCGTCATTTTGAAATGGGAAAAGTACAACGAAGCTGCATTTTGAAGAAAGCAGCAACAAGGACCTTGGCAAAAAGACGAGCTAAAGACTGAAAGAAATGCAATTGTCTGTCATTTTGAAATGATGATAAATAAAATTGGACTAAGAACTTTTTGTGAATGTTTTAAAAGGCCCTTTCAGAGGAAGATCGGCCAAGGACTTTGAATACCAGAAGGAAAAAACAAGAAAGAAAGACAAGATTTGCAACTTTTAGCAATTTTAAATGAGAGTTTGTTTCTCCAAGAGGATTGGCGCTGAACACCATTTTGAAATAATGATAAAATGTTTCAAGGTTAATTACAAGTTAAAAAGAAAAGAAAAGAAAAGGATAAGARACTCACAGCAACGGCCTTTATGAGCAATAGTCAGTTTAAACTTTGATTGACAGGCGTCAGAAGTAAAGGCACAAATGTTGATATAAGTCTTTTTATTACTGCCACAAACAGGTTCATAATTCAGGGGGCACTTATTTGGGCAGGTACACACTTCTTCACCATCTTCACGGACCTCGCACTTGGAGCCTTGCGGACAATTAGAGCTTTGGCATGCTAGAGGGAAATATTTCTTAGTAAGATATACAATACTTAAGCAAGTTACAAGCATATAAATCAAACCGATGTTATATAGATGGAGAAGACAACATGTCATCGGTGTGATTGAAGTGTTTTTCTAAAAGTTGTTTTGCCTAAAAGTTGACTTGGAACTGAGAACAACACATCACTGAATTAAATTCACAAACAGCAAATGAAACAGAGATTAAAATCCAATGATTATAGCTTACTGCATCTTCCACTGTATGCAASAGATATCTTGAYTTCTTGAAGRCAGCCTTTCCTTTGAAGCAAGCACTCGCTAAGGTAGGATAAMCCATCGTCGCCACAGACAGGGTCATAGTGAAGATCACACACAGGGCAGACACACGACGCGCTCCTGTTGTTATGGCGGACACATTTCGAACCGTGTTGACAGGAAATGACGTCACAAGGGTCTGAACCAGAATGCAGATTAAAGTAGAATGTTGAGTTCAGATATAAGATGGTAGTTTTATAASCGATCAAATAGTGGAMGGAAAAATAGATCGTTGAATCACAATGTTCATAGTGCAGMTTTTTTGCTATTGTCAGCACCTGGCATCATTAAATCGACCTAATGCATMGTTGCCATGACAGCATTATCACAATCATCAACATCATCACTGCTCTCCTCAATCARCCATCATCATCATCATCATGATTGTTTCCCATTTAGGGATTCCTAACAACCTCTTCATGATATCATCATCTTCATTTCAAAGATAAACATTTTACGAAAAAAACCCTGGAATGCTGAAAAAGCTGAACTCGTTACTACCATGCAAGGGTCAGTTATCATACAGTGATCCGAAATCTGCAACACTTTCAGGTCATGCGACTAATCATCATAAAATCAATGTCATCATCACTTGATTATCTTTAATAGATTAATATTGCATTCAAGATGATCAGCAATCATCTAATCATTATCATCAGTCTTGGCACCTACCATAGCAGCTCCCCTCGTGAAGAATTTTAACACTACTTTTCGTCTCACACGCCTTTTTCGTAAGGTGGCAAGTACTAAGATAAGTCTTGCCGTCTGTACCACACACTGGTTTGCTACTATTGACAGGACAGTAAATAGGACAAGAACACCGTAGCTTATTACCGCCATCGGACAGACAGACAGCATAGCGAGGGCACTTTGTATCGCCGCATAGAACATTATCTAGTTGAACATACAAKGTAGACAAGATCAAATGAAGAGGATATTCAAGTTATTTCAGAAGTGAACACACAGAATGTCATTTTTTGTTTATTTTTTTCACGAAAGTTTGTAAAGATGTAGTGAAAAAGAATTACCAGATCGAAAAAAATAAAAAAGGAAAAGATTGAAAAAGTTCTTCCCTTCTTAGATATTACAAAGGAGATGGATATAAAGAAAGAATACCATACTCATTTTATTTAGCCAAAAATACAAAATACAGGGACAAATAAAGGCGAATACAGAAGGACCAATATTAGGGTATCATTAAGGTATAAAATATAATGAAGAAAACTAGACAAAAACAAAAGAAAAGACAAGTCTAAGATAAAAACAGTAGAAATGTTTCGTTCAAGCATCGAAATTTACTGCTGAGCATCAAGCTGAAAGGCAATGCCAAACGTTTTGAAAACCAAYAGAAAAACCAACCATTCCTTACCACAAGCTCCTTTGCTGCTAACTGTAATGTTTTGGTTCTTTTTACAGGCTTCTAATTGCAGCGCACACCGACTAAAGTAAGTCTTGCCATTGCTTCCACATACAAAGTCATATGTTAACGGGCACATAGTCGGGCACTCGCATTCTGCCTTGTTCTTTGGAAGACGCTTGCACTGGGAGTATGGAGGACAGCGTTTGGCAAGACATGGGTCGTCCACTGAGAAAATGGAGAAATTAAAGGTTTTTTGAAAGGTGAACGTACAGGCTGCGAGACAGTGTTTCAGACGGACAGTCAGACAGTGTTTCAGACGGACAGACAGACAGTGTTTCAGACGGACAGACAGACAGTGTTTCAGACGGACAGACAGACAGTGTTTCAGACGGACAGTCAATGTCCCAAACAGACACATAGGAGACAATGTCACACAGTCAATCAAGATTGGGAGCAAAAATTCAAACAAACCCTAAATAATAATGATTGACAGGTTGATCCAACAGACAGACACACAAATAGACAGACAGA